GGTGGGGTGGGGGCCAGTTAGGGGTGACCAGGCAGGCAGGCAGGTGAGCAATTAGGAGCCAGCAGTCCAGGATTGTGAGAAGGATGTCTGACTGCCAGTTTAGGCCCGATCCCAGCAGTTGGATATCCCCCAAGGGGTCCCAGGTTGGAGAGGGTACAGGCTGGGCTGAAGGGACACCCCTCCCGTGCATGAATTTCGTGCACCGGGCCTCTAGTACATCTATAACTTTAAGACTACAATTCTGAGAAATATTCTATTTATCAATAAGTGTATTTCCAGAATCTAAGAAAACATAATAGTTCACTATCTACATACAGTCTGCTATAACTAAGCTTAACCACTTTTTCTAGCTTCTGGATAAACATTAAATTAACTTGTCATCTCAATATCTCTCCTTTTACATAAAAACTGCTTGTTTAAAATATTCTTCTTTTGCTTATTATCTATTTAAATGTATTTTTAAACTCTTTTTTAAACTTCCGCTTCCTTTTCCTGTCACTTTTTAAAAATTAAACTTTAGCTGACTGACTTCAGCAATATAAAGGTATATATATTTTCCTGTATACAATTTAATACATGTTCGTAAATTATTTTTCTCCCTTAAGGTCAAAGGAATTGTATTTAAATCTTTGGGTTTCTCTTTGTGTATGTCCTATATTTTTAATGTTATATTCATTGTAAAAATAAAAGCAAATATAGTATGTAAACAGAGAAATAGAAAATTCAAATTAGTGAATGTTTCCAGCTTTGTTAATTAAGTTGCATTCTTGAATGATAGTTGAATAAGAAATGAAAAATATTTGCTTTTGGGAAGTCATTGTACTAAACATGTAATTTAAAATTTTAATTTCTCACAGGACTCAAAAGCTTATTACCACCTGCTGGAACAGGTTGCTCCAAAAGGAGATGAAGAAGGTATTCCTGCTGTTGTGATTGACATGTCAGGACTAAGGGTAAGGCCATGTTCCAAGCTCTGTTTAGAGAACACAATGCTGCCTTTGCATTGGGGTCCCATTGACCTGTATGACCTGACTCTGAGGTTGCATGAGGGGACATCTCTGTTTAAAGCCTTTAAAAACTGTTAACAGTTTGGGGTAATAATTGTGGGAAATTTAACCTGGAAATAAATATTAAGGAAAGAAAGAAACTAATACCAATTAAGTGCCATACACCATACTAGGCACTTCTGTATATTTCTCATCATTTAATAGGCTCCACAGTACCAAGAGGTATTATTTCCATATTTAGGTTCCTGAGTATTATTTCTGGAAATAGATGAAATATTTATACAAATAAATAAATTCTCACTTTGGTGATGAAAACTGATCAGAAGGCTTAATTAAGATCATATGACAGATTTTTGGAAATAATTTGATCCAAATCTGGGGCCCTTTTCCTCTAGCAATAATTTAAAAAAAAGGAATCCCTTCTTGTTGAGTTCCTCCAATGTGCCAGGTACTGTGCAAGGCATGTTGCGTATACAGCCTCTAATCCTTACAAACATCACTGAGGTAAATGTTAAACTGCTTTATTGTTGAGAAAACTGAAGGTCAGAGAAGCTAATAATTATCTTATGGCCACAGAGCCCAGTGCCTGGTACAGCAAGAATTTAAACCTAAGGGTGGCTCCAAAATTCACCCAGCCACAGCCCTCCCTCACTACATCACTAAGGGTAATGGGAGGAAAAGATTGGGCAGGATGTGTGAATTCTTAGAAGTGTCTTGTTTGAGGATTCTTAAAAATAGTGGGCATAGCATGAGTCTGAATGTCAAAACTTTAGTTTTGCCACCATTTTAATATTGATCTTGAGAAATCATCTTACCTATTTTTGTGCCTCAATTAATATTATTAGACTTCAACCCAGCCGTGGGCAAACTATGAATAAAACTAAAAAAAAAAAAGACCGTACCCTTTTATGTAATGATGTTTACTTTGAATTTATATTAGTTCACACAAACACTCCATCCATGCTTTCGTTCCGGCCCTCCGGTCCAGTTTAAGAACCCATTGTGGCCCTCGAGTCAAAAAGTTTGCCCACCCCTGCTTCAACCCAATGAGTTAATATTAAAATCAATTCATTCCTGAATGAGAAGTAAAGCTCATGAACTGTATAATGTATATAGTGTTATCTAGTAAAGCATCATATTAAGAAATAATTCTAGTCTGAAGTTCTGTTTTCTGAAAATTGGTGTTTTCATAGACTCTTCAGAGCTTTAAGGACAGTGGATCATAATTCAACAAGAGTCTTTTAATAAGAGTCTGCTTACAAATGACAGGAGATTCTCTAAAACTATATGAATAAACTTTTTAAATATATATATATATTGTTTTCAGAGAGGAAAGGAAAGGGAGAGAGAGATAGAAACATAAATGATTGGCTGCCTCCTGCATGCCCAGCACTGTGGATTGAGCCCACAACCCTGGCATGTGCCCTTGACTAGAATCGAACCTGGGACCCTTCAGTCTGCAGGCCAATGTTCTATCCACTGAGTCAAACCGGGTAGAGCTGAATAGACTTTTAATATGTTCAGTGAGTGGTTCTCAGTCTGAAGTCTGCAAAAGCCAAATTGATATTATATATTTATTAATGACAATATGTAGCTTAAATAACTCATCATGTTTATTTTATTTAAGTTGCATGTATACCATTTCAGTGTGGGAAATGTGGTTATACTAGTCATACATTTTCAATGGCAGATATAAATATCTTTGATGAACTAAAAATAGGAATATAATTTATTACTTAATAAATAAACATTTTTGGTAGAAAAGAAATAATAAAAAGTAAGCTCAATGGTTGAAGATAATTAAATCCACTTAATAAATTGTAGAATCTACTGAATATTTTTTAAAATATATTTTCTTTGTTGATAGTATTACAAATATATCCCATTTCCTCCCATCCCCCCCTTTACTCCCTCCTCCCAGCCCTTACCCCCTCACAAGATTTCACTATCCTATTGCCCGTGTCTATGGGCTATGCATATCTATACTAATAAAAGCCTAGGTGGCCCTTGTGCGTGATGTCACCACAAGGTGGCTACCACAAGATGGCCACCACAAGATGGCCACCACAATATGGCCACATGCACAGTGGAGGCGGGGCCTGCCAGCCGCTCTGTGCAGTGAGGCCTGAGGGTCCTGTGGCTCTGCGTGGTGTGGAGGAGATTGGTCCTGGCATCTCCGCCACCTTGCAAGGAGGAGGCAAGTCCCAGCTGAGGAGGTGGATCTCAGCAGGGAAGGGCAGTTGTGGGTGATCGAGCTGGCAGAGGAGGGCAGTTGGGGGCAATCAGGCCGGCAGGGGAGGGCAGTTGGGGGTGATCGGGCCAGCAGGGGAGCAGTTAGGCATCAATCAGGCCAGCAGGGGAGCAGTTAGGGGCCGATCAGGCTGGCAGGCAGAAGCAGTAAGGGGCAATCAGGCAGGCAGGTAGGCAAGCAGTTAGGAGCCAGCAGTCCCGGATTGTGAGAGGGATGTCCGACTGCCAGTTTAGGCCCGATCCCTCGCAGTTGGACATCCCCTGAGGGGTCCCAGATTGGAGAGGATGCAAGCCAGGCTGAAGGTCACCCCCTCCCCATGCACGAATTTTGTGCACAGGCCACTAGACCTATATAATAAAAGGGTAATATGCAAGTTGACCCTAATGGCTGAATGACCTGGAATGACCAGTCGCTATGACACACACTGACCACCAGGGGCCAGACACTCAAGGCAGGAGCTGCCCCCTGGTGGTCAGTGCACTTCCATAGGGGGAGCGCCGCTCAGCCAGAAGCCAGCTCATGGCTGGCCAGTGCAGCGGTGGTGGCGGGAGCCTCTCCCGCCTCCATTGCAGCACTAAGGATGTCCAACTAATGGCTTAGGCCCACTTCCACAGGGGGAGCGGGCCTAAGCCATTAGTCAGACATCCCCTGAGGGCTCCCGTGCTGCCAGAGGGATGTCTGACTGCCAGCTTAGGCCTGATCCCCCGGAGAGCGGGCCTGAGCCATCAGTTGGACATCCCCCAAGGGGTCCTGGACTGCGAGAGGGCACAGGCCAGGCTGAGGGACCCCTCCCCCCACAAGTGCACCAGGCCTCTAGTAAGTATATAAGTTCTTTGGTTATCTCTTCTCATCCTACCAACCCCACATCAAAGTATGTCAGTCTGTTTCATGCTTCGGGTCTTATTTTGTTGTCAATTCATTTTTTTTTCATTAGATTCCACAAATAAGTGAGATCATGTGATATTTGTCTTTCTCAGATTGACTTATTTCACTTAGCATAATATTTTCCAGGTCCATCCATGCTGTCCCAAAGGGTAAGAGATCCCTCTTTTTTACAGCTGAATAGTATTCCATAGTGTAAATGAACCACAGCTTTTTTATCCATTCATCTACTGATGGACACTTGGGCTGTTTCCAAATCTTAGCTATGGTAAATAATGCTGCTATGAACATAGGTGTGCATGTATTCTTTCTAATTTGTGTTTTGAGGTTTTTAGGATAGATTTTGAGAAGTAGGATGGCCGGCTTCCGGCAGGGTCAAATGGAAGTTCCATTTTTAATTTTTTGAGGAAACGCCATACTGTTTTTCCATAGTGGCTGCACCAATCTGCATTCCCACCAGCAATAAACTAGTGTTCTCATTTCTCCACATCCTCACCAGCACTTGTTATTTGTTGATTTCTTTTTATGATAGCCATTCTGACAGGTTTGAGGTGGTATCTCATTGTGGTTTTAATTTGCATTTCTCTGATGATTAGTGACTTTGAGAATTTTTCATATGTCTTGGCCATTTGTACTTCCTCTTTGGAAAAAATGTCTATTCCAATCTTCTGCCCATTTTTTTATTGGATTGTTTACCTTCCTTTTGTTGATTTGTATCTTTATGTATTTTGGACATTAACCCCTTATCAGACGTATCATTGGCAAATTGTTTTCCCATACTGTGGGCTCCCTTTTCCTTTTGTTGATGGTTTCTTTTGCTGTGCAGAAGCTTTTTATTTATATTTAGTCCCATTTGTTTATTTTTTCCTTCGTTTCCTTTGCCCTAAGAGATGTAGCCATAAACATATTGCTACATGAGATGTCTGAGATTTTACTGCCTATGTTCTCCTCTAAGATTATTATGGTTTCATGCCTTACATTTGTCTTTTATCCACTTGAGTTTATTCTTGTGTATGGTGTAAATTGCTGGTTGAGTTTCATCTTTTTGCATGTGTCTGTGCAGTTTTCCCATCACCATTTGTTTAAAAGACTATCTTTACTCCATTGTGTGTTCTTGCCTCCTTTGTCAAATATTAATTGACCATATGGTATGGATCAATTTCTGGGGTCTCTTCTGATCCATTGGACTATATGCCCATTCTTGTGCCAACCCATACCAGGCTGTTTTGGTTATAATGGCTTTGTAGTATGGTTTTCTATCAGTATTGTGATCCCTCCTATCTCGCTCTTCTTTCTCAAGATTGTTGCATCTCTTCTGGGTCTTTTATGGTTTCATATAAATTTTTGGAGTCTTTCTTCTAGCTCTGTGAAATATGCCATTAGTATTTTAATAAGAATTGCATTGAATCTTTAGATTGCTTTGGGTATAGACATTTTAATGATGTTAATTCTTCCAATTCATGAATATGGTATATGCTTTCTTTTGTTTGTATCTCCCTCCATTTCTTTTTTTAATGTCCTATAGTTTTCCAAGTACAGGTCTTTTAGCTCCTTGGTTAAGTTTATTCCTAGGTACCTTATCTTTTTTGTTGCAAAAGTAAATGGGATTGCTTTTTTAATTTCTTTTTCAGAGTTCATTATTTGTGTATAGAAATGCCATTGATTCTGGGTGTTGATTTTATATCCGGCTACATTGCCTAATTCATTTATTAAGTCTAGTAATTTCCTGGTAGAGTCTTTAGGGGTTTCTATGTACAACATCATGTAAACTGCAAATAATGAGAGTTTTTCTTCCTCCTCTTCTTATCTGATT